GCTCACTCAGAAAGTTCTAACAGTTCATTCGAAGTTAAAGTCATTCGCTCTTTCGCTTGAAATACCAAAGGGCTTTTCTTCCAGTTTCCGTTCCCCCCCCCTTTCTCCGCCAAATTCGTATATAACGAAAGTTTAAACGAGAACAGAAGGATCGTCTCCTTCTCTCATTTCTTATCGCTTGGGGTGGGGGGGACGCGATTATTGCTTTTCGACTACGATTGACAACTCACAGTTCCAGCCGATCTTTTCCAATTTCATCATTTTTTCACTTTTTCGCTTCATCACTCGGTGACGTCCGTAGGTTCCACTATACCCTTTACAGGGTCACTCACGCGGCGAGGTCCATAGGGGCAGGGCGAGGAGAAAGCCTCAATTTCCGACCGTTCGGCCGAGAAAGAGGCTCCCCCAAAAAAGCCCTAAAGCGCCCCGGATCCGAGCCCCTCTCCTCTGAGGTGCTCGTTTGGGTCTCCGCTCTCGCGAATTCCCTCCTCAACCGCGGGCGGGCGAGACGCCCCGGGAGCGACCCGGGGATACGTCCGCCATTCGCGGAAGCCAGACCGGAAGCCAATTGTTGAAGACTTCTTTGGTCTGGGCCGGTCATCAATCAGTTCTCTGTGAGCTCTTGTAGACTAGACCAGAGTGCTCTGTATTTTATGCTAGTGCACTATGAGAGCTAGTCTGGTGTCGTGGTTAAGTGCGTGGACTCTAATCTCTACTTGCACCTGGCTGGATGACCTTGGGCAAGCCGTAGTTCTGATAAGAGCTGCTCTTGAAAAAGAGCAGTTTCTGTCAAGAGCTCTCTCAGCCCCACCTACCTACCTCACAGGGTGTCCGTTGTGGGGAGGGGAAGGGAAAGGAGTTTGTAAGCCGCTCTGAGACGCCTTTGGGTAGTGAAGAAGAAGAAAAAGAAGAGATTGGATTTATACCCCGCCCTTCACTACCCAAATATGTCTCAGAGGACAGGGTATAAATCCAAACTCTTCTCTCCTATGTTTGTGTTGAAGTATTCTACACTGAATATGGAAATGTTACGCTTTTATCCTAAGCAGGGCTTTTTTTGTAGAAAAAGCCCAGCAGGAACTCATTAGCATAATAGGCCATACCCAACAGCAGGAACTCATTAGCATATTAGGCCACACCCATGACAGCACAGCTCATTTGCATATTAGGCCACACCCCCATGTTACCAGAAGTGTGGTCATCCAGCCACACCCACCTTTTGCTTCTTATTCTCTTTACCTTGTTTGTTGTCAAAACCCAGGGCTTTTTGCATATCAGGCCACACACCCCTAACTGTAGCCAATCCGAATGAGTTTCTGCTGTTGGGTGTGGCCTGTTATGCTAATGAGTTCCTGCTGGGCGTGGTCAACTTGGGAGCCAGCCGGAACTCCGTTCCTGTGAGTTCCGGCCCAAAAATAGCCCTGATCCTAAGAGATGTGTAAGTGCTAAAGCATGGGTGTCAGACATGTGGCCCAGGGGCCGCATCAGGCTCCTCCGGAGGGCTTCTCTCAGGCCCTCAGAAGAAGTGGCTGTCTTCTGCTGCTTCTTCCAGTTCTGCTGCTGCTGCGTCATCCTAGGTTTGCAGCTTACAGATACACACCTGAACAGCATACTCAAGATTGCAGCAGCACAGGCATTTTGATGCAATAATTCAGAGCAAGAGGTGTGAGTTATCAAGCACGGTTAAATAAACAAAATATTGCAAGAGGTCTAATGTTTTTAAGCCTGTTTTTTATTTTAAATTTAAAAATACCCTTTGTGTTTGTGTCCTTATCTCCGCTACCTGGCATTACCTTTTATGATGCACAGGGTTTGGCCCAACAAGGTCTCATTTATGTCAGATCCGGCCCTCGTAACACATTAGTTCGATAACCCTGTGCTAAAGGGCTTTCTGTCCTTAAGAAGCTTATACTGTAAATAGCCTGGTTTCGTTTGAAAACTATGGTCTCCCTTGCCAGTCTCCACCCAACCAATAAAAGAGCTAAAGGGGAATGGGAGGGTCCCAGGGAAACAGTCCTGGGGTCCCAGAATACCACAACAAGTGCCACTTATTCAGTCTATGCCTGACTGCCCCAAACATCTGGGCGGATCAGATATCTGCATTACAGATGCCGTGAAAGAAGGAGAGAAGAAGAGATTGGATGTATACCCCACCCTTCACTACCCAAAGGAGTCTCAGAGCTGCTTACAATCTCCTTTCCCTTCCCTTCCCTTCCCCACAACAGTCACCCTGTGAGGCGGGTGGGACTGAGAGAGCTCTTTCGAGGACTGCTCCTGAGAGAACACCTCTAAGAGAACTTGTGACTGACTAAGGTCACACCGGCAGCTGCGTGTGGAGAATCAAACCCGGTTCTCCCAGATTAGAGTCCATGCACTTAACCACTACACCAAACTGGCTCTCTACACCACTACACCAAACTGAAAGAGCACTGACCTGCGTTCCTCAACCCGAGGAGGGATTGCTGTCCGGGACTGACGACCAGGCTGGTTGGGGCCACGGTGTACTTGAAGTATCTCCAGAAATCAAACAAGGCATTGAGGCTGAACAGCGATGCAAAGGCAAGTTCTGGAGCAACATACAAGAACATAAAATGTTATCATAATTGCATGCACAAGACAAATTACACGCACAGCCCCTCTGAGATTTTGTTGGACGTAAGAGACGGGTTGAGATAGCAGATGGTCTAGAGCAGGGGTGTCAAACATGTGGCCCTTGGGCCGGAACTGGCCCGTCCAGGGTTCTCATCTGGCTCGCGAGTAACTGGTGCTGTTCTCAGCTCGTGAAGGAAAATGGGTTGCCGGAGGACAAAAAGCACCCCCTGCAGATTTCGGAAACGGTCTCTGTCAGGCCTTCCCGAGCCCCACTGCTTCTATGGGTTCGGGTTCAGTTTTGATTGCCTCAGGCCATAGGCCATTACCATGACAGAACATCTATATAGCATCTATATAGACTACAAAAACCAGAAGAACAAAAAGCTCTAAATTAATACACAATAAAACATTTTAATAATTCCAACTCTTCCGTCCTGACCTCCGTTAGTAATCGAGCTATGGTGCTGCTACTATTTCCCCCCCGAATTTTCTCTGCAGCGAGGGCTTGTGTGAGATCTCGGCCTCTACGTCTGCGAGCAACTGGTGCTGTTTCTGTTCTACTGCCTAGGGTGACCAAAATTGGGCCTAGAAATTTCTTCCTAGGGGATTGATAGAGTGGGCAGAATAGCAAGTAATGGCACAGTTCTTCTGGCGCTGAGCCTCCACGCGGGCAGAGACGCTGGGCAACAGGCGCGTGCTTCTATGGGAAACGCAGGAAGAACAAGAACTGGGGGTGGGGTGGGGATCTGGGAGAGCCAGGCTTTTAGAAATCGATTGTTTAATTAGGTTTCCCTGTGTCTTTTATAAAGTTTATATCTCCGGTACCAGGCATTACATTTTATGGCACTCATGGCCCGGCCCGATAAACTGACATCTAAGTCAGATCCTGCCTTTGTAACAAAATTAGTTTGACACCCCTGGTCTAGAGACCATCGTTCCCTGACCTGGGCAGTCCATTCTTCTAAGATCTCGGAAGCTAAGCAGGGTCGGGCCCGGTCAGTATTGGGACGGGAGGCCATCAAGGGAATCCAGGGTTTGCTACGCAGAGGCAGGCAATGGCAAAACACCTCTGAAGTCTCTTGCCTTGAGAAACCCATGGGGTCACCGTAAGCTGACCGTGATTTGATGGCAAAAAAAAGAGAGAGAGGCAGAGATCAACACATGACGCAGTATCTTTTTACTGTGTGAGATCAAAACAGACTAGTCTCTCACCAAAAGGATTTTCAAGCGACTTGGTTCCCAGCAGTGGAATATCTCGTAGACGAAGAAGTGATTCCAAACAACTCTTATTACAAAGATCTGTTATATTTTTAAAAAGCTCTTACAGGTTGAGAATGTTGATTATTGCATGGTATTAATTTGTGTTCTGAATGTACTGTTGAATATATTGTTCAGAATAATAATAATAATAATTTTAAAAAACCTTATTTTTTAAAAAAAACAACAGACTCTCAGACTTGCGTCCTAAGATTGTCTGGCAGCCAAAAGTTCTAGCTCTTTTAGCACTATGCACCACTAGGTGGCGAGCTAGACCTTTTTTTTTTTTTAAAGGCAAGAGACGTTTCAGGAGCGGTTTGCCATTGCCCGCCTCTGCGTCAGGACGACTCTGGTATTCCGTGGAGGTCGCCCATCCAAATACTAGCCAAGGTCAACCATGCTTTTCTCCTCACCCTTGACACAGAGAGTCCTCCATCTTTCTGTGTTGCACCTCTGAGGATGCCAGTCACAGCTACTGGCAAAACGTCAGGCTCTGCAATGCCAAGACCACGGCCACACAACCCGGAACATCTACAGCTACAGCAGCTAATCAACCATCCTTCGCTTCCAAGATCTGACAAGATTGGGCTAGCCTGAATATATCTCCTGGTAGTTGATATCCACGGCACTTACCGATATACCACAGTAACCAGCACGAAATGTTATAATAGGAACTGATTAGTTTCCCAGACCTAGAAAAAGGAAAGGAACAGGCCAAAGTCATTCACAGCCTCACTAGAATACGGAAGCCATACTAGCAAATTCTAAAACCATTTCCCAGTGTTTTGCAGCTCTCCTACACTCCACACCCGTATTGCAGATTAGGAGGGCAGAGGGGGCTGGGACCAAACCAGCGTCTTGGTGAAGGTGAGTTTCAAACGGGACCCTTTCCAGATCACCCGTTTAGGCACCGGACACCTCCAGCTTCATTTCAGGACCTCACCCAGGTGGAGAAAGCGACTTGTCTTACATTTCAGTGTAAATCATGCCGGCAACCGACAGGTTCAGAAGTCCCCACGCCAAGACCACTTTCTTCACTTCCGTTTCCTTCCTCATCTTGATGGTCCGGTCGATGAGGGAAGCGGCCGGACTCTGTTCCCCCTGCATGTTCTGGAAAGAGGAGGAAGGGAGGGGGGGGGGGGACAATGTAATCTATCCTACCTCCAGTAACAACCCCTCCAATCTTCTAATGCCAGGTCAAACAACAAGCTCCTCCACTGGGGTTGCCAACTCCAGGTTGGGAAATTCCTGGAGATTTGTAACAGCTCTTATATAATTTGTGGTGGCGCCTGGGGAGGGCAGGGCTGGAGGAGGGACCTCTGGAGGACACGGAGTCTCCCCTCCAAAGCAGCCATTTTTCTCCGAAGGAAGTGATCTCTGCAGTCTGGATGAGAATGGTAATCCCGGGAGATCTCCAGGGCCCACCTGGAGGTTGGCAAGCAGACCCCTCTCTGCCCCAAAGAGCCTGGCAGAGCCCGAGAGCGCCCGCCCCCTCCCCTCCCCGCTTCCCCCTTAGCTTAGGGTGAATCCACACGACCTTCGGTACACGTGTTCCTTCCCCTCCTCACCTGCGGCTCACGAGGCCAGCTCCCAGAAGCCTCCGCCCGCGCGCGCGCACCTTGACAGGGGGCAACAGCCAACCGGCTCTCCCCCGCCCCACCGGCGCCTTGCGCTCACTTCTCGTACTGCGCTTGCGCAGCGGGTGTTTCTTCTTTTTAAACCACCCGACGGAAGGCCGGAAGTGCCATTGGAAGAGCTGAGGAGCGGTAGGGGCGGGAGTTATCGCCAAGGCGACGAGGTTTCAGCGAACGGTTGGTTCTCTCAGCTTCCTCGGGCCCCGCCTCCTTTTCCTCGAGGCAGAGCAGCGGGCCCCGCCCCCCGCCCCTCCCAAGCGGGCTCTGAATTATTGGCGGGAGAAGAGCGCAACCGCGGCTGTGCCGGCGCTCGCGCGTGCGCACTTGCGATGCACGGCTGTGCTTGCAGTTCTTCCCATTCTATTTAGTGGGGGATTTACTCCCGAGGAAGCGCGCACAGAATTGCACCCGGTTCATCCGGGGGAAAGGGAAAGGGAGAGTTGCCTGCATATTTTTTTCCCCTTTGCAAAAATAAAACAGAAGCCCCAATGAGGCCTTAACCGTTTGTGTGTGTAGTAGAAGAAGGAGGGGGCTCTTTTTGTAGCAGGAACTCCTTTGCATATTAGGCCACACACCCCTAATGTAGCCAATCCTCCAAGAGCTTACAGAGCTCTTCTTACAGGGGGCTACTGTAAGCTCTTGGAGAATTGGCTACATTAGGGGTGTGTCACTTAATATGCAAATGAGTACCTGCTACAAAAAGAGCCCACATATGAATGGTGCAAGTGTCACTTGGTGGTCCAAAGATGGAACCCTCTGCCTGGGGCAGGGATGCTCTGTCTTCTTGGTGCTTGGGAGGGGGCCACAGTGGGAGGGGCTTCTGGAGTTCTGGCCCCACTGGTGGACCTCCCAATGGCCCCTGGGTCTTGGCCACTGTGTGGCACCGAGTGTTGGACCGGAGGGGCCATTGGCCTTGTAATGTATCCAGTCCAGACAAGTCCAGAGACAAACACCGAGCTTCGCTCTAAGAGACAATGGACTATGCGGATCCTAGCCCGCTCCAATCAGCGGGCTGGGTTCCCGGCGGAGAGCCTATGGGACTCTCGGCCACTGTAAATAACCTATAGGGAAGTAGGGGTGTGTTTTGGGTGGCGGTTTCTCGGGGGATATAAGCTGGCCTGCAAGCTGGCCAAAGTCGTCTTGTTCCAGATAGAATAAAGTACGCTTTGCTGAAGTCACTCTCCGTCTGCGTACTTTTTAGGCCTGATCCAATATGGCTTCTCTTTATGTTCTTATACATGGAACACTTTGTCTGGGGCAGTGATGCTCTGTCTTCTTGGTGCTAGAGGGGGCATGACTGGGAGGGCTTCGGGAGTTCTGGCCCCACTGGTGGACTTCCTAATGGCAACTGGGTTTTGGCCACTGTGTGACGCAGAGAGTGCGTTCAGACGGGGGCTTTCTGCCGGCATAAACTGCACCGGTTGGAACCGGTGCAGTTTATGCCAGCAGAAACGCGATCAAACTTATCTCCATTTTGCGGTTCCCATTGTTGTACGCCCGGTCACACGCTGTGGGCGTCGGCGAGTTTTTTAAAAAAAAAACAGCTTGAACATGCGCATAGGCAGCCATTCACAGAATGGTGATCTTTGCGCATGCTCAACCCCCCCCCCCATTACATTTAAACTTTAAAGGTAAGGACTTACCTTTAAAATTTAAAGCCCAAACTGGCCTCCCTTAAGTCCCGGACTCCTCCGGGTAGGTAAAGTAAGGGCTTAAAAAAAAAAAAGGCTCAGGGCGAAGCGTCGCCCGAGCGCATATCGCTTAGAGTTTTAAAAAATGGCGGGGGGGAAACGGAAGCCTCAGGCTTCCGACGGAAATGGCTAGGCACCGGTGGAGAGCGATCAGACGCCGGTGTACATCGGAAGCCACCGTTGCACTCAGGATACCACCACTTGGGACCTAGTGGCAGAGTGCAACGGTGTAAAGGGCTTTACACCGGTTAGGGACAGGAGGCAGATGTGCCCCGTCTGAACGCCGGTGAGTACAACGGTTGGAACCGGCACCTTATCCGATGTAAAGCCCCCGTCTGAACGCACCCAGAGTGTTGGACTGGAGGGGCCATTGGCCTGATCCAACATTGGCCTCTCTTATGTTCTTATACATGGAACACTCTGTCTGGGGCAGTGATGCTTTGTCTTCTTGGTGCAATGGGGGTTACAATGGGAGGGCTTCTGGAGTTCTGGCCCTGTTGGTGTATCTCCTGATGGCCCCTGGGTTTTGGCCACTGTGTGACCCAGAGTGTTGGACTGGAGGGGCCATTGGCATGATCCAACATTGACTTCTCTTATGTTCGAGGCAGTGATGCTCTGTCTTCTTGGTGCTTGGGTGGGCTTCTGGAGTCCTCGCCCCGCTGGTGGACTTCCTGATGGTATCTGGGTTTTGGCCACTGTGTGACACAGAGTGCTGGACTGGAGGGGCCATTGGCGTGATCCAACATTGGCCTCTCTTATGTTATTATCGATGGAATACTGTTTGGGGCAGTGATGCTCTGTATTCTTGGTGCTTGGCGGGCAAGTGGGAGGGCGTAACGAGTTCTGGACCTGTTGTTGGACCTCCTGGGTTTTGGCCACTGGATGACATAGACTGTTGAACTGGATGGGCCATTGGCCCAATTCAACATGGCTTCTCTTATGTTCTAATGTGACACAGAGTGTTTTCGACTGGACGGGCCATTGGCCTGATCCAACATGGCTTCTCATGTTCTTATGTTACACTGGGGAGGGAGGGTAATAAATAAACAAACCAGAATGAGTTGATCAGGAGTCCCCAACGTGGTCCTCATGGGGACCATAGTGCCCCCTAACACTTTTCCTTTGTTGTTCAGTCCCACAGTCGAGTCCTACTCTTCGCGACCCCATGGACAAGATCTCGCCAGGCCCTCCTGTTTTCCGCCGTCCACTTTTCCTGGCACCCGCTAAGTGATTTTTGAAAGTGGGCAGGGCTAGGTAAATAGAGATTTCTGATTTACTGCGCAGATTAAAAGGCATTTGGGTAAAAAATTCCTTCTTGAAGTGGCAAAGAGGAACTGCTGCTACAGTTACATATGCCAGGGCTCTTTTTGTAGAAAAAAGCCCAGCAAGAACTCATTAGCATAATAGGCCACACCCAACAGCAGGAACTCATTAGCATATGCCACACCCCCTGACATCACCGGAAGTGTGTCATAAGGCCACACCCCTGAATGCGCTCGCCCGCTTCGGGAGAGGGGATCAAAGTGTAATACTAGCCTCCTCCGAGACTTGATCACACCAATCTCAACTCTCTCTTGGGTCTTGATGCCTGCCAGTCACTCCCCCTGCCTGGGGGAAGCCGCGTTGGACCAAAATACAGTCCAAACTGCTGTAAGGAACACCCGTCCACCCTGAGCACTTACAGGGTGCGTCAAATCGCCACATTACCCCAACCGGAAGCAGGGGGCGGGGCTTCATTCTGTGCCCCGCCCCCGCACCTCACCCGGGGGAACGGCGATCCCCCGCGATTCCCCCGAATTGACCCCTGCTGGGGACTCCCCACGTTTATCGTTTATATGGGTCCAGGCAGAAAGTTTGTTCTAAAAGAAATAACTGTACTGTGATGTCAAATGGCCTTAACGTTGTCATGGTTCCGAGAATGATGCGGGAAACCGGATTCTAGAAACTTCCAGTCGTGGCTCGCCATGCAGAGGAATGCCAGCCGTCAGTTGCCAGGATCGCCATGTCCATACCATTCCCTAAGGGTCCCCGTGCCCCTGCCTGACATCTTGCTTGGTTGTCGAGCGAGTCTTGGCCACGATGGTTTTCTCTCTCCTCAGTTCATGTTGGCGTTATTATTTCTATAGCGAGGATCCTGCCCACGAAGAGGAATCGCCGTGTGAGGAGGAGGAAGAGGAAGTGGATCCAACTTGCTGGGTCTTGGGGGAAATGCTACTTTTTTACTGTTTGACCATTGCTCTCCTGAAGATGCTTTACCACGGTTTGGAGTGGGTGAGGTTCTTGGGTTGACGGTATTCTGGCCACGTGCGACGGGAGATTGGGGCGGAGGAGGGTTACGTAGAACCACCCAGCTGGAGAGAGAGGGCAAAAAGCAGAAGTTTTGCCTCTCATGGCACAATTGACGTTATGACATGACCATGCTTTGGTTTGTTTCAAACAATGCAGCAAACCATAAGAAAATTAGAGCCCTGCTGGATGAGACCAGCGGTCCATCTAGTCCAGCCTCCTGTCTCACCCAGTGGCCAAACAGTTCCTCTGGAGGGCCAGCAACAGGGCACAGAGACGGAGGCCTTCATAAGACCCTCAGAAGAGCCCTGCTGGATCAGACCAGGGAGGGTCCATCTAGTCCAGCCTCCAGTCTCACCCTGATCTCTTCTGGGAGCTCATTCTACCAGGCCGGAGCCACCACCGAAAATGCCCTGGGCCTGGTTGCTGACAGACTGGCTTCCTTAAGACATGGGAGGGCCAGTCGGCTCTGAGCTTCTGAATGCAGTGCTCTCTGGGGAATATGTGGGGAAAGGCGGTCCCTCAGATATGTAGACCCCCCAACCATCAAGGGCTTTAAAGGTAAGAGCCAGCACCTTGAAACAAATCCGGTATGCTATCGGCAGCCAGTGCAGTGCCTTTAACACAGGCTGGATGTGCTCCCGAACTGAGAGTCCCATCAGCAGCCTGGCCGCAGCATTTTGCACCAGCTGCAGCTTCCGGATTTGAGACAAGGGCAGCCCCATGTAGTTATTACAGTAATTTTTCTTTTTGTTTGTTAACATGGCATGTTAAAGCTTCTACTGTGCTTCACCTCTGGTTGGTTTCCAGATTTCTAGGAGTCACTGAAAATGTCGAGACAGCGTGTGACTGCGATAAAAAAGGCCAATGCTATGCCGGGGATTATCAGGAAGGGTATTGAAAACAGATCAGCCAATATCATAATGCCCCTCTATAAATCAATGGTGCGACCTCATCTGGAATACTGTGTGCAATTCTGGTCACCACACCTTAAAAAGGATATTATACCTTTGGAAAAAGTGCAGAAAAGGGCAACTCAAATGATAAAA